AAGTTGTCACAAATGGCTAAATTTCCTTCTTTCTTGTGGCTGAATAGTATTCCGTGTGCGTGTGTATGCGTGCGCATGCATGTGGGTGCACGTGTGTCTGTATAAACCCCATATCTTTATCCATTCATCTGTTGACGGACAGATTAGGTTGTTGTCATCCCTTGGCTCCTGTGAATAATGCCGCAGTGTAGGTGAGGGTGCAGGTGTCTCTCTGAGGTCCTCATTTTCAGTTCCTTTGGTCATACATGCAGAAATGAGATTGCTGGGTCATATGGTAGTTCCATTTTTAATTTTGGGAGAAAGCTTCATACTGTTTTCCATAGTGGCTGCACCAGTTTACATTCCCAACAACATTACACAAGGATTCCCTTTTCTCCACATTCTTGGCAATACTTCTGCCTTTTTAATGATAGGCCTTTTAACAGGTGTGAGGTGATATCTCATTATAGCTCGCATTACCATTTCCCTGATTATTAGTGATATTAGAGCACTTTCTTATACCTCTTTCATGTCCCTGTTGATCATTTTATGTTTTCTTTGGAAAACTGTGTATTCATTTTCTCTGCCCACTTAAAAAAATTTTTTTTTTAATGTTTTGTTTATTTCTGGGGGTGGGGGCAGCGTGAGCAGGAGAGAGTCAGAGAGAGAGAGGGAGGCAAAGAATCCAAAGCAGGCTCTAGGCTCTGAGCTAGCTGTCAGCACAGAGCCCAGTGTGGGTCTCGAACGCATGACCGTGAGATCATGACCTGAGCTGAAGTCGGACGCTTAACCAACTGAGCCACCCAGGCGCCACGGCCCATTTTTTAATTGGGCTGTTTTTGTTTTTTTCTTTCTCTGTTTTACGATTGAGTTAATGGAAGTTTTTAATATATTTTGGGTATTAACTCCTTATTAAAAATATTTTCTCCCATTCTGTATGTTGCCTTTTCATTCTGTTGATTGTTTTTTGCTGTGCTTTGTAATTTGATGTAGTCCCACTTGTTGATTTTTATTTTTGTGGTCTTTGCTTCTGTTATCATCCAAGAAATTGCTTCCAAGACCAGTGTCAAAGAGCTTTTTCTGTTTTCTTCTAGGCGTTTCAGGTCTCTCTCTCTCTTATTTTTTTTTTTTAAGAGAGAGAGATAGAGTGTGAACAGGGGAGGGGCAGAGAGAGAGAGGGAGACACACTCCAAAGCAGGCTCCAGGCTCTGAGCTGTCAGCACAGCACAAAGCCCAACATGGGGCTCAAACCTACAAGCGGTGAGATCATGACCTGAGCCAAAGTCAGCTGCTTACCTGACTGAGCCACCCAGGCACACCTTAGAATTTCAGGTCTTAAATACAATCTTTAATCCATTTAAAGTTCATTTTTATGAATGGTATAAGAAAGAGGTCCAATTTCATTTTTCTACATGTGGTTATCCAGTTCTTTCAATACTGTTTATGGAAGAGGCTATCTTTTGTTCATGGAATATTCTTGGATCCCTGGTCAACTGTTAGGTGATCATTGATTTATAGTTTCTTAGCCTCAAGGTGCTTACTGGTTATCAGAGACAAACACATACAAATTATGTAACCATAATGTAAATTACAAATAGAAGTACTTGCAGGATGCTGTAGGAGCATTGTGGTTCAGGAAGTGTGTACAAGAAAATATGCTCAAGCTTGTTATTCTTAGCCTGGAGGAAAAAAAGAAAGATTTTCTATCATGAGCAAAGACTTGGTAGTATGAAATGGCTTGGTATCCATGGAATGAGTAAACCAAGGAGTTATAAAAATGTGGTACATTTTGGGCGTTATCAAACAGTGCAGATTTACTAAAGGATTCAACTCTGTGGTGGGACAGGGGAGAGACAGGCTTGGAATTACTGACAAGGATAACGAATGGTCCTAGATATGTTAAGGAGGTTGTGTCTTGTCTGGGAAAACTCGTTAAGGGCTTTAAATGGCAATAATATAGATGAATTCTTAGGGGCTAGGTAAGAAGCTGGGCGACTGTATATATTAGATAAGAAATGAGTGTCTAACACAGGATAAAATGGTAAGAGATGGGGAAAGTTATTTAGGAGATTAACAAATGCTTGCATATGGCTGACATGGTGGGGCGCTAGGGCAGAGCAATGATATTAAAGAGAAGTGTTGGGTGAATTGCTGGGGTTTGCCCTTAGGTGGATGGTGGGACTGTAAACTGAGGTAAGGACTACAATACAAAGTGGGAATGATTACAGTAGTAGCTAACATTTTGGGGTGTTTGATAAGCACTGGGCACTGTACTGTTTGCTTCACATGTATTAACTCATTTAACTCTAATAATCAATCTATGAAGAAGGTACACTGTCACCCCTCCTTTATGGATGAGGAAACTGAGGCATGGTAGGGAAGACTCAGGTCCCATATAGGTAAGATACAAAACCAGGCTTTTTGGCTCCAGAGCTTAACGCTTCGTCTGAACATTGTATTGTACCACTGTTGTGACCCTTATTAATGTAAGTAATAACATCACATCTTACTTCCAGCACTTTATATCTCAAACACAACACATAGATGATAAAGGGTAATGCATTTTACCATTACTTGAGTGGTGACGTTAGTTGATGGAATGTGGCAGTAAATGGACTATCTCTTATCATAATGAATTGGTTTAATTTATGCGAATTACAAGAGCACTGAATTTACAAATGACTGATTTATAAGCAGTGTAATGGTTGAAGAAAAGTTCAGAAATAGGCAATATTCAGAAAATTTTGGGCAATTGCCCAATGCATAGATTGTTTTCTGTTTTTAAGAGAAAGTGGGGGGTGGGGAGGGGAGAGAAGCCTCAGTATTAAAGCCCTTAGTACTTCTCTTTGTGGCTAACCTAGTGGTCAAAACTCAGATAGCAGGATGGGAATGGGAAAAGAGTAAGCAGAGGCAGCAAAAATTGTGAAGTAATGTTTTTGGTGGATTAGGAGCCATGCACACTTTAGGGTGACTTGGAGGGGGGTGCTGACAGTGATCATTTTTGGCAAGAGGGAAGGCTGACTCTATCAGTGGGTGTGGTACGGATACTAGATGTGGTCACAGTAGATTGCAGGCCTCTTTTAGTGCTCCTATATTTCCCGGGAAGTAAGGGAAACAGAGTTACTAAGCTTTCATCTCCCCTCTCCACTGGAACTACTCTTGTCAGGGACTGGTGATGTTTATATTGTCAGATCCAATGGCCCCTTCCTTTTTGAAATACTGTCTTCACTTGGCCGTGACCATTCTCTGTTTTCCTTCCACCTTATTGCCACTCCTCAGTCTTCTTTGCCTACTGCCTCTTTATCTTTCTTTTTTTTTAAATGTTTTTTTTTATTTATTTCTAGGAGAGAGAGACAGCGTGAGCAGGGGAGGGTCAGAGAGAGATGGAGTCACAGACTGAAACAGGCTCCAGGCTCCGAGCTGGCAGTCAGCACAGAGCCCGACGCGGGGCTCGAACCCACAAACCGCGAGATCATGACCTAAGCGAAAGTCGGAAAGTCGGACGCTTAACTGACTGAGCCACCCAGGCGCCCCTGCCTCTTTATCTTTCTTATTTCTAGGTCTAGGGTTCAAATAAGAAGTATTCACTTAAGTGTTGAGTGAATGGTTTATTTCCCAGCAGTCATTGCCTAGGGGATCTCATTCAGGCCTGTGATTCTGAACACCCCATGTATGCCAATAACTCTCTGGTGTATTTCTAGTCCTGACCTTTCATTGGACTCCAGACCCTTCCATTATCTTTTGTGAATCTTCTAGGTCTCTCACTTGATGTGTTTACAACTGTACTTTTTTTTAAATTATTTTTTATTTCTTTAAATGTTTTTTTTTAATTTATTTCTGAGAGAGAGAGAGAGAGAGAGAGACAGCCAGCGTGAGCAGGGGAGGGTCAGAGAGAGAGAGTGAGACACAGAATCTGAAGCAGGCTCCAGGCTCTGAGCTGTCAGCACAAAGCCCGACGTGGAACTCGAACCCACGAACCGTGAGATCATGACCTGAGCCGAAGTTAGACGCTTTAACCAACTGAGCCACCCAGGCGGCCCTACAACTGTACTTTGATTCTCCCTCTCTAAATCTACTGTAATCCTTATTTGTAGTCTTCCTTTCAGTGAGTGGCCACTCTGCCAGGCACTCAATTCTAAAACCTCAGGTATTCTTGGCCACTTCCCATTACTAAATGTTGACGACACTGCCTTCAGAATCCCACCCTTTCCTCCCGTCTTTACTGTGTCCACCATGGCTCTAGCTGCCTGTCAGCTCTCACTTGGAGAGCCTCTTTTCAGGTCCTTGTATCTGTCATTGGCCCAAAGCAAGTCTGTTAAAACTTAAGTCAAATTACATCCCTCTTCTGTCCAAACCAACCAGGCGGTGTCTTCATCTCACTCCAGTAGAAGCCAGAATCCTGGTTGTTGCCTCTAAGGCGCTACGTATTCTAAGGCTGTCCTCCCCTTCCGTCCGCCACTGACTTCGTGTCATACCGTTCTTCACTTGCTCACTGTGCCTCCGTTGTGGCCTCCTCCCTGTTCCTTGAGCAGGCCTGGCATTTTCTCTCCTCTGAGGCTTCTGTGTTTGCTCTTCTCTTTGCTTAGTACACTTTTCCCCTCCTAGATCATCAGTATGACTCCCTCTCCCTTTCTCTTCAGCTCTCTTTAAATGTTGTCTTATCTGGGAGGACTCCCCGACCACTGGTCCAGACGGGAGTCTCTTGTCCCAGGTTCCCTCGGTCCTCCTACTTTGCTTTATTTTTATTCATACCCGTTATTACCTCTTGACATGTTGTAAGTTTATTATCTTTTTTCTCCTACTAGAATTTAAGCTTCATGATGAGCTCCAATCTCTTTTCCCTACTTTCTTTATGATGCCCCAGTACCTAAAATAATGTTTGGCTGTTAGAGGTATTTAATAAATATTTATGGAATTGATTGAATGAATGAATGAAAGTTTAATGAATAGCTTTCCTGCTTATCTCTGAATGGCAACGTAAGTCAGCATTGATCTAATCGAGTTTTTCTCCCCCTCCACAGCACAATGGTCAGTTCTGTTCAAGGAAATACATACCCCAACCAGGCTTCAGTTTATAGTCCTCCTCCTGCTGCCGCCGCCGCTACTGCCGATGTCACTGTGTACCAGAGTGCAGGAACTAATATGTCCCAGGTGCCAAACTATAACTTAACATCATCACCGTTGCCTCAGCCCGGAGGCACTCAACAGCCACCTCAGCCACAGCAACCATATTCTCAGAAGGCTCTGCTATAGGACTTGGGATTCCTCTTTGTGGCAGATACCTGCTAAAAGCCGCCGACAATGTTATGAGATTCTTTAATATCTTAAGGTTTGTTTACCCTCAGCTTATAGGAATCTATCTCGGTCTACAAGTTCAAATATTCAAGAAGGCAGAACTCTCTTCAATTTGCACTGACTTTTTAGAGGTTCTCCCTTCCCCCGTCCCCTAAAGGAATGAAACTACTTACAACATTTAATTCCTTTCATAATATGAAAGAATTGATACAAGATTATTTGTCTCATGAAATTACATGATCTGCAAAAAGTCAAACTTAAAAACACTGTTGTGGCAAATGTTATGTACATATATTGCTGTGTAACTTCATTAGTGGCCATTTTGAATCACAATGGTGATCATGTGAATATATTTAACACTGTTAAATTAATTTACATTGCTATTTTATTTTAATCATGAACAACTACCATGTTTCATAATGTTTTGTGTAAATTTAAGATAATTACACTATCCCTTTCAACTCAAGAGAACAAAGCTGTAGCATATTTACGTGAAGGCATTATGCTGTCCGTGTTTCAGTTTCACATTAAACTGAACCTTCCTTTGACTACTTGTGAGCTAAACCTATGTATTTTATGTCTTTCTGTAGCCTCTGCATACTACTAGCTGTCATCACACCAGCGTACAGTAGCTAAATTTTTGGTGCAATTATGGCAAATGATGATGTTCCCTTTTACACTTTTACATTTCGGCATGGTATTTCAGAATATTGTGGGGCCATGAGACAAAATTAAGTAGGATCATATTCTTTATATCTTATTTTCAAAGAAATAATGTTGGTTTACTTTTTCCTAGTTGAAGATAGAAATTAGAGTTTTGAGCTGTATACTGTGTTTCTTGGTGGCAGTGACGCCAAAGATTGAGGCAATGGATAGAAATTTTTAAACTGGAGAGAAAACATGAATTACACTACATTTTCAGAGTCTCTTGTAATTATTTGGGATAGAAACAAAATTTGATTCATCTGTCTTTTCCCACTAGTAGTCTTTTAAATATGTCTTTAACACGCTGTATCCTTTAATTGTTCATTAAAATGGATATAAGTAGATGTTTCAAAGTCTTCTATATTCCTGGTTTTGCTTCATAGTTTGTATATATGTCCTTATCTTTCAAACTGGACTTTTGGGGTTCTTTCTCCTAAAGTTCTAATGGGATTATTTTGGCTTCTGACTCAGGAGTATTTTTGAACAAAGGCTTTCCTTTTGCTCTGTATGAAATGTGTTTTCCAGCAACATTTTAATCTTAAATACTTATCATTTCCATAGTTGTGCTACATTGTTATTTAATACTGTTTAAACAGCTGAAAAATTGAGTTTGGGGTTATATCAAATGAATTGATCCAGTGTGTTTCATGCCATAAATGAAAACTTAACGCGTATTTTCTAAGACGACTGCAGTCACATAGCTTGTTCCTTTCCTTTTTGACAAATGATTCCATGTGTGGTGGGTAGTCTCAGTGGTGATGGATGTTGTAGGTTCACGTGGACAACAGCATCTTGACCTCCAGAATGTCACCCTCAGTTTGCTTGTTTGACTTATTTCTTGACTTTTCCTAAGTTTAGAGTATGTTGCCCTCAAATAGTATTTTAAACCTTGAATTCACACTTTACATTAACATTTTTTAATATATTGCCTCTTGATAAACAGTATCAGACAGATTATAATCTTTTTCATTCCAGCTTGAATATTGTAGTTTAACTCCTAGACCTTTTTCCAAGTCACCTTGTATTTTTCTGTCTTTTGATAAATTTCTGTTTACCAAACTGGCAGATATGTCATTTCCCTAGTTTATCTTGATGCTGTAACATCAATTATGTAGTGTCTAGTATACTTTTTGCCCTGTAAAAGTGAATGAATGGTGAAGTGAAAAAAAACTTATTACGGCGCATATTCATTTTTCTTACTTATTACATTACTAGGCTTAAAGGAGTACTTAAAAACTGATAACTGTGTTAGTATGTGCTTTGCATTTATTTGGTATAAAAATACCAGATGGAAAAATTCCAATAGAGAGGAACCCCTGGATTTTCAATCATTCAGATGATATGGCAACAATAGAAATAGGAAAGGACCAGTTAGGAGCTCAGATAAATGATTTTGTTCTGAAACCAACATATGTATCATTTTTTCAAAAACTCTTTTTAAAATATGACGAGCTCCCCTTTTTTAAGGAGGAGAATTATTTATAAAATGAATTGACTATATGGATTTCTGTGAAGCAAATTTTACTTCTCAGCTTATTTCCTTTATAAAATTTGAGTGTATATGCATGAACAGTGACATCTAAATGGAAAAATTCAGCCTGTTACCGTCCAGTATGAGTAACTGACAAACCCCGCAGCCCGTTGAATGTGACAATATATCAGTGCCACCGACCTGCTATGACTAATGTGTAGGGTGTCCTTGCTGTGGTTTTACAGTCTTTCCAGCTCAAGGACCGTCCCCTCTCTGTACCCTTCCTACTCCCTGAAGAGGCCTAAGGGATTCCTGTCATGGTGTTAAAAACTTCTGAAACTTTGTTTCTATCCCTTTTAATTTCTGTATTTAAAATATTTAATAGGCCACTAACATTCTTTTTAGTACAGTTTTCATGTATATATGACATGTATAATTCAGGTCGGGAGTACCTTTAGTCCAGAGCTTCGAGTTTATAGAAGACAAATTAGTGTCCTCTGTGATGAACTATGCAACCATAAAAACTATATATTATTTTCTCAAATGAGGTCCATTGGTCTTGCTGGTCAAATTGTTATCTGTTTAATACTTTAAAATCACTGTTTTCTTTGTCTCATCTATTTCCTTGGTTTCCTAATTATAGCTTTCTGTTTTATTACGTTTTAAATATTTAATAACAAAACCGTAATTTAAAGTTTTCATTCTTATGTCATTTTCTTTCCCTCTTTTTTTTTAATCAGTGAACTGTCTGTACCTCTTAGAATACAATATATGGAAGAAACTTACCTAAGTATTTTCTTACCTAAGTATTTTCTGAAGACTTGGTGTTCACTTATCTTGTACTTTAGAATCATGTTTTGATTAAATATTCTTGTCAGGTGTCTAGATTACTTTCTGTACTATTGACGATGACATCCTCTCCCTCCAGTTTTTAATCAAAGCGATTTGACTTTTATGTATTCTTTTGCAGTGTGCTCTTCCTTTGAAATTATAAAACTTAAGTAATTTTTTCTGAAGTTTTCCTAGATTCAGCATTTTTTCCTCTTATGTTCTATAGCATTGTAAATCTCAGTATTTAAAATCTTAGATTTCCTTGCATTTTACATGTGATAACTTGTGGTCATTCTGTACTTTGCTGATTTTCTGACTCTACCATACCCTAACACTCCCTGCCCACTACCACCGTTGTCTGTCTGCTGCTGCTTGTAGACTGACAGAATTTCTGATAAGGATTACATATTAAATTATTGAGTCAGCATTCTCTCAGATAAAAGCAAAAGGGACCTATTTTATTGATCTTCTGATGGCCAGAAACTTAAAAAAAATAGTTATGTCTATTTTACTTTTTTTTTTAAATATTTTTATTTATTTCTAGAAGAGAGAGAGAGAGAGAACGTGAGCAGGGGAGGGTCAGAGAGAGAGGGAGACACAGACTCTGAAATAGGCTCCAGGCTCTGAGCTGGCAGTCAGCCCAGAACCCGACGCAGGGCTCGAGCCCACGAACCGCGAGATCATGAACTAAGCGAAAGTTGGACGCTTAACCGACTAAGCCACCCAGGTACCCCTAGTTATGTCTATTTTAAAGAAGAATTGTACCCCAGTTTTTTTTTCAATCTGGTCACCCTCATTAGCAACAAATATTTTTAAGTATAAAGCTTCAAAATAACAGAAGTACTTATATTTACAAGTTGTATGCTTTCTACTGTTGTACCTCATACAGCACTTTGAGAAAATAGACATGTTAGAAAGGTGAGGGAAGAAATGTTACTAGAAATTCTGCTAGTTTCTTTCTGTATCTCTGGTTCATTTTGTCTGTGTCCTGGGATGAAGGAAATTTGTGCCTCTATAAAAAATAGCCTCCTTTTTCCCCCTCCATGCCAAAATAATCACTTCACTCTGGATGGCTTTTTAAGTAGTTTTTAGAAATGTAATCAATAATTATAGGACTTTATTTTTTGGGAGGCATGCATTTTAGCATGTTCATTTTAAAAGACTTCTCATAACCTTACAGTCATATCTTCTCAAGATATTGAAATCACCGAAGGGAAAGGAAAATCCTTTCTTCTGATTGTTAACTTATTTTTCTCAAGTTGGTTACCAAATTGGAATGAGACCAAGTAAAATTTATAACCCCAGCCAAGTTAGAAACACATGCAAGTTACAATAATGTACACTCTCAGATTATTAAATAGCTTATTTCTGACTTTGCACTATTTTGGTTGGTTCATGGCTTTTAAAAAATAGGATAAATATAATCCATTGTTTTCTGTGGCAGGATATAGGAAGTTTTTTAAGTGAAGGATCGTTACACATCTTGTTACTTTTAAAAGAGGTATGCTATATAAACAGTTGAGAAGGTTTTCAGTTAATTAAGTGTAATAGCCAATTTAGATGCCAAATATTATGAAACATCCATGTGGTAGGGTTATTATCCTCAGAATCAGAAACACAAAAATATCCATATACTGTTTTGGAATTTGTTCCTCTTCCATCAGAGAATGGGAGGTTTAAGTATAAGTATCTTTGATATTCTGTAATTGAAAAATATAATGATAACACTTCACATGTGTTGCTGAGAAAATGACTGAAGAAGTTGTAATGAAGTGTACAGTAAATCCATTTACTACTTACCAAAGAGGATGCTTTGTAGCAAGTCCGTTTCTATAAATGGTGGATGGCACATGATTAAAGTTTCATTAATTTGTATTGTAAAACATCTCAGTTTGTGACCACATGGGTTTCTTGTGAAGGAAGTGGTGGTACTTTTTGTGAGAAGAGTAAGAATAAGAACTAAATTAGATTGTAATTTATTGGAGTTCTTTTCTGCTATGAAGTGGAAATTTCCATTCACTGCCCTAGGAAATCAGAGGACTGGATTTTAACCCCGATATATATCTTCTGTCAAAAGAAGATCTTGCTAGATAGGTGATCTTGGGCAGTTCCATGAGTCTCTCTGAACAGCCTTCTTATTTATAAACTGTAGTGTTTGTGTAACTACAGAAGCCTTTGAAGCCTGCAGAAATTCTGTGCTTTAGATCCTCTACCTTCTGTGTACCTTAAATATCCTGCCGTTCAGCCTGAATAACTCCCCTGTGCCCAGGCAGTTACCCTCTCATAGTAAAGAAGGAAACCGGATGGCATGGGGTCGCATACTGTGGCACTGAAAACTGGGGACATGATTTCCGGCATTCATAATGCACTTCCTGAAGGTAATTGGGTATTTTGTTTCTGTTAGCAAATTCTTGAGCCTCTTGTATATGCTTGAGTGACCTTACCAGGAACATCTGCATTCCAGGTAGAAGTGCTTGCATTTAATAGTACTTTCATTTTCACTGGTGCTGCTTTGGGGATTGGGGAATTAATAATTACAGCTCAGAAGCAAATACTGTTTTTGTATATTGCTTCAGACTAAAGGAAATAGGTATCATCAGACTAAATAAAATCGTCTTGATGTCCTCATAGACAGAGTAGTACCATCGGTCTTAATGACTGAGAATGATGAGGGAGACCATACGCTGCACTTCCCATCCTTCAGCTGTTCTGTTTACTTAGTAAGCAGGTTGCTTGAGACATTAAAGTGCTTGGCTGAGAGCCTATTTCTAATATTCCAAATAAGATGCAGAATCAGCAGTGGCCTTTTTTTTATATCACAAATATTTGGCCTAGGAAAGTGCCATTATACCTTGTTTAGTTACCAGTTATTATTATAAAAAAGCATTAGCTAGCTGTTAGGTGGGTTTTTTCCTAATCAATCTTGTGTGTTAGTTACATGTATCCTTTATGTAGTTCTGTAAAACATTTCTAAGAACAACATGTATTTTGGTTTTTTTGTACTTCAGAAGATCAGATACTTTGCCAGTATTAAAAAAGTTTCTTTACTATATTAGTTTATGTTGTTTAATGGAATCTGATAAAGAAGGCTTATACCAAGTATTTAATAAAATAGAAAAGAAGTAAATAAGCTTTATAGAGCTCTTTTTTTAGAAGGGGAAACCAACTTTTCAAGTTGATTATCACTCATTGTGTCAAAGGAAATAGTCACTGCTTTTTGTAGAACCTTTTTTGCTGTCTCATGCTAATTTTTTCAAGAATAGTCCCAGAAATGAGTACTTCTTGGGTTTTACCAAAAAATGGTCTTTATCTTACATCACAGTAAAAACTAATTTTGTCTTTGTATAGTTGATACATTTTTCTTCTTTATAAAAGAGTAGATTCCAGTTGGTTTTAGTGAAATGTTTTGATATCAAAACATCAGTACAGTTTCATTTCATTCTTGTGGTTAATAAATATTAATTTACATGGAGTGGGGCATTTAGGCCAATGTATTTGAAATAGGAAGACTTCAGCACTTGGAATGGAAATACGTCAGGCTGCAAGCTAAATTACTGTGCTTTTTTTTTTTTGATATGTGTAACATTTTATTTCAGCATTTTTTTTAACAAATAGTTTATTGTCACGTTGTTTTCCATATAACACCCAGTGCTCATCCCCACAAGTACCCTCCTCCATGCCCATCTTCCCCCTCCCCCCCCACACCCATCAGTCCTCAGTTCTCAGTATTCAGGAGTCTTTCATGGTTTGCCTTTCTCCCTCTCCCCCACTATTTCCCCCCTTCTTCTCCCCCTTGGTACTTTTGTGTACTCCATTAAAGCTAGGGAGTATTTCTTCCCTGCATGCCTTTCATGTATTTGGAAGATAATAACTTCTGTAAGGTTTTTAGCGTGATAGGAGCAAGGTTTTTATTGTTAACTTTAATCCAGCGTTTAACTCTTCTGACTGGTATATTTGAAAAGGCAGAAAATACCCCTAAATTTTTATTTGCTGAAGAATATGTATTGGACATTGGTCCTGTTGATGCCTTCAGTAGGGAAAATTTTAAATTAAGTATCCAGTTTATGGTCAGGTTTGTTATATGTAGGTTATCATTCGAAATGGTCAGGGAAATTGTTTTCAAAACTTAAGCAAAAGAGGATAATGAGAATAATAGCTAAAGGAGCTGAGTTTAGGTAGTATGTTTTAGCACTTTTGTTAAAAGCAAACATTTTGACATTAAAAACTGTGAAGTGCTCTTTTCCATATTTGACCAGGAGATATGCATCACTCAGTTAAAACTGAGTAGCATGATCTAAATACTATGTTTAATATCTTTTGAAAGTAACATTTCTAAAAGTGTTTCATACTAATTCATGGCTTATTAATCCAGTGTTGTTTATAATTCTTTCTTTTCTAGATATTCCAGGAGCTGTGGTTTGAGAAATATAAATTCTGTACAGAATCCTTGAAATCCCCTTAAGAGAAACCTGAATGTGGGCGTTTGTTTCCCACAGTTGACTCTTGTATGTTGTGACTAATTTGAACTAGAGTTCATAATAGCATACAATGGATTCTGCTGTAATGCAAATATGTTTTCTAAAAATCATGTTTTGCATAACTGTGCAGTAAAAAAGCCTTCGCATTTATGGGAGAAACAGGGTTAGAAGCACAGCACTCCACGATTTCAGCAATGACACCCTTAAGAACAAAGATAGGAATCTAATGAAAACAGCACAGTTTTACATGTTAAACGGTTAATAAGTATTACACTATGGCACCTTACTTTGGAAAAGACCTGGAGTGTGCCTGTGGAAGCAGGTGTCAGAAGGGTTGTGGCTGTGGGTTTGGGGAAGGTGGAAGGTGTGCTGCTGGAATTTGAGGGCACGTT